TCCTTGAAAATGGCTATCCAGAAAGATTTATCACAAAATCAATGAAACCCAGACCAGAAAAGCAGCCCACACCTAGTGCTCCAAAAAGACTTCTATATATGAACCTACAGTTCAATGGAGACCAATCTACAGAAATACTGAGAAATCGGCTCTCCCGCTCATTGAAGAAAACCTTCTTTGCAGCTGAATTACGACTGACGTTCTCCATGAGACCAATGATTCGCATGAACGTGAGGGATAAGCTACCGCTGTTGGCTTCATCTATGTGCATCTACCAATTCACCTGCTCGTGTGGAGCCAGGTATATCGGCCGTACTCAGCGTTCGCTATCCAAACGCGTCAACGAACATTTACCTTCATGGTTTTATAAAGGAGAAAACTGATGCCCCCCCCAGCTCGATCCTTGAACATTTGATCGACTCTGGACACCAAGTCAAACCACAAATAAACTTCAAAGTTATCTACAGAATACAAGGCAATCTTGTTAAAAGTGTACGGATCAAACTTCTCCACATCACAGAAGCAATGGCAATTCATCTGTTAAATCCCGAACTCTGCATACAAAAGAAATTCGTTCATTCATTAAATCTACAATGGACGTAATCTTTCTTAATTTCAGTCTTACTTATTGTATTATTTTGTCTTTTGCATTTTATTATTTCACATCTTCATTTGTATTATTCTCTACCCCACCCTTTTGTAATCTCTACCCTCATTAACAATGTTGCTAACTCGACCCACGTCCAATTTCTAGTCAACTATGTTACGTCATCCGATTAACTTACTTAATTTTCAACTGTATTATTCTCTACCCCCACCCTGATTTAATTTTAACCACCACTCATTAACACTGTTGCCAACCTGACCTACTCTGAATTCTACTCAATTGTATTACGTCATCTAATTCACTTGATTAATTTTATTTTCTATCTAACTAACGTTTGTTTCCAAGCCAAATAATACTTATATTACGTAATTATCTCAACTTTATAAATCTAAGGTACACACACAAAAAATAATTGTATTTAAATGCGATTGTACAGCTCACTGAATGAATTCGCCGAAAAGAGTCTCTTCGCTGAACTCCTTCTTTTCTTTTATATTCCTGATTCATTTAAAACTATCTTTCATGAGTAGCATTATCTTAAATCGTTTCAGCATTTTTATCATTTTGTGCAGGAGTTGATTTGTAAGGATTAGGTTTGTTTTCCGAGTTTGACCACGGACTGACATCAGTTAGAGAACCTTTGAAAACCATCACTGAAATACTGGACAGCTGTCTCGCCAGCCTAGTTTGGGAATCATCAGCAGTACGCACCCACCACAAGGGTTTGAACCCAGGACGGAGTTTCCTGGAGTTTTAGTGAGTAGTTGCGACCAGTGAGGACCATCCAGTCGCGAATGAGGATGGAGTTCCCGCCGATGATACTGGTTGGTGTTCACGCTAAGATCAGCAATTGTTAGAAGTTATAATTCATGGGGTGGCCATTGAAGAGTCGGGTCCCAGTGGCTGGCTGAATGATATACGAGCCAGCTTGCCTTGTAACCGGAACGTCCTGGCTGCGTACTGCCAATGATTCCCAAACTAGACTGACGAAACAGCAGTTCAGTGCTCCCTGGTTTTCTATGGTTCTCTAACTGATATCAATTACTATTATTGTTGTTGTTACTATTATTATTATTATTAACATTACTCAGTTCGCAATCCTTGATATATATTCAAGTCCTTTCACTCACTGACGACTATTTGTTTCTTTTCGGCGAATTCATTTTCATAGCTGTACAATCGAAAATATTGTATATGGTTGTTTTGTATGTGTGTGTGTGTACATTAAATTTGTCAGACGAAAATACAATTAGTAAGTTCAGATGAATTGGATGTTGATATAAGAGGGTAGTAACAAAAGTGACGAGTTGTCACAAACGATTGCTAAAGAAGAGTTACGTAATAACATGAATAGTTTAATGAAAGAGTTGTACTCAGTGTGTACATGTGAACAAAATATGCGGAATTACACAAGGGTTTTAAGTAGAAAAATAAGCATACAAACAAAAGTTAAGTCAAATCAAACAAACAAAGAAAAGTTAAGTCAAATGAACACAGTTGTTACCATGGGAGTAGAAGTAGTTGAATAATTTTCTTTTATATCCACAGTTCTGGTTCCGCTAACTTAATGGCTAGGGCTTCTGCGATGCAAAAAAGACGGAATCGTACTGTCTTTGGAAGGTTGTTCTTCACTTTGTAGATTACTTTGAAGGAGACGTTTGTAGAGATAGAATGACCAGTATTGACGAGGTGTTCTATTATTGCACTCCTTATGCAGCCATTACTTCCTTTCTGCAGCCACTCTGGATAGTGTTCTTTGACCCTTTTTGACAGGATAAGCGTTGAACGACCGATGTACCTGGCTCCACAGCAACAGCTGAACTGATATATACACAAAGAAGTGGTCAGGTGCGGGATCTTGTCTTTTGGGCTTCTGCAGATTAGCGGGCGACCAGAGAACACTACTCTCAATGTTGCCGCAAAGAAAGTTCTTAAAGAGGTGGAGATTCTCCTTCTGAGGACGTCACTGAGTAGGTCTCCTTTGAAGTCGAGGTTCATATAAAGTATTTTTTTGGCACAGATGCTGTTTCTTGCTTTTGGATTTTTTGTTTGATGTTTTTGTCTACGAATCTTGATGGGTAACCGTTTTGTATGAAGGTCTCTATCAGGAAGTTTAGTTCTTCTTCCATGGTGTCAGAGCTGCAGATGCGTCGGACAAGAGATCTAATTAAGTTTCTTTTCCGACTGATTGGTACCAAGCTGCAGAAGCTTGTCAGTTGGCCGTTCCATGTGGGTTTCCTATGGATGGACCTTCTTCCGTCAGCTCTCCACCACTTCTACTCCCATGGTAACAACTGTGTTCATTTGACTTAACTTTTCTTTGTTTGTTTGATTTGACTTAACTTTTCTTTGTATGCTTATTTTTCTACTTAAAACCCTTGTGTAATTCCGTATATTTTGTTTCCATGTACACACTGAGTACAACTCTTTCATTAAACTATTCATGTTATTATGTAACTCTTCTTTAACAATCGTTTGTGACAACTCATCACTTTTGTTACTACCCTCTTATATCAACATCCAATTCATCTGAACTTACTAATTGTATTTTCGTTTGACAAATTTAATGTACACACACACACATACAAAACAACCATATACAATATTTGCGATTGTATAGCTATGAAAATGAATTCGCCTCCGAAAAGAGACTCTTCGCTGAACTACTTGTCTTCTGTCTATTAATGTTCGACTAGTTGTTTATCTAAGCGATATAATTTTAATCTTTCATAATCCTTTCCCCTTATCTATTTGAACCATCCATGACTTGAAAAAACATTCTCACTTGTGGTTTTGCGTGATTAATTCAATGTAGTTTATTTACTTATCAGTCATAGTTCTCACAATGTGTTCGTGATAGTATATATATATATATATCCCTGTATGTAGAGTATTCAGCTGGGGAAGAATTCTACCGAAATTTGATGAATTCATTAAATCCTGCTTTATTAACAACACCTTTTGTTAATATATGTGTATGTGTAATATATATATGTGTTTTATATATATGTCGGTGACACAGTGGTTAGGACTCTCGCCGACCACGCACATGGTCCGGGGTTCGATCCCCTGCCGGCGCACACCCGATATCTATGGTCGGCCTGAATTTGGGCTACTGATATCCATGCTGAAAATTCCATACTTGTACTGAAAATACGGTGTGGAATCAAGCTGTAAATCAAAAAAGTAAATAAATAAAAAATATTAATATGACTTATGGTCTTACTGTACAAGGAGTAATCAATAAACTCACTCGATTTTCACAAACTGAAGCAAGATATGAAAATCATCGTATTTTCAAAGCATTCGATGCCTAAAAAATGAAATCATTCCTAAATATCTACGTCTACGAGTTCCAGTTCCAACGGACAGAGTTAGAAGCAGAATAGAAGGCTTACAAAAATTATGCCTGAAAGAAGAAATCCACAGAATCGTAAAAAAGTTGCAACATATCAGATCTGAAATTGAGCAATTAAAACAAAAGATAAAAGGAATAGATTATGCTCTTATAACACAATCCTCCAGCAATGCAAAATCAGCAATTTTCAAAAAAGTCAAAAAATTAGTCAAATCAAAAAGTTCAACAAATTATTAGAAGAGAAATCTTCATCTCAGATTGATGAAGTCAACAAACCAAAGTCAACGGCGATCAATAAATCAAAGTGGGTTATCAATCTCTCAACACATGCATTAAGTCCTACGGAAATAAGTGTATTAGAAAAGGGACTAAATTTCAGTGCTGAAACCTGAGGATGTCATCCCTAAAAATACAAATAGCATTAAGTGGGATAGACAAAACAACGGCTGACGAAGTAGGGACAAAATGTGCACTTACATTAAGACGACAAAAACGAGGAAAGCGTAATCTGACAAAACCTGAAACACCTTAAGAATAACAAGGATATAGTGATCACAAAGTCAGACAAAGGAAATGCAACAGCAGTATTAGACAAATCAGACTATTTGGACAAGGTAAATACTCACATACAAACAGGACCATATGAGAAAATTAATAAACCAATAGATACAGTTATGAATAAAGTTAAGAAATCCACAGTGGACCTTATACGCCGAATGAAGCCGTTTCTAGGTGAGGAGTCTAAGTGGTTTAATTTAATGCCCAAAACTAATAACTCCAGTAGGATGTATGATGTTGTTAAAGTTCATAAGTCAGGATACCCTATTAGGCCTATAGTTGATTTTAGAAATTCACCTACTTATGAATTTGAACAAAGCAAGAACAACTATTGTACCAGGATAATGTGAGCTCATCTTTTATTATTTCGAGGATTCTTCTCAACTGGTTACAACCTGAACGATGAAAAATATAAATTACATTACATTGAAGATTTGAACGTAATTTTCCACGATCACATGGAGTAATTGGTAGGAAGTAAAAGTAACATTAGTCCGGAATGATTTAACTAGTTACAAACAACTGACTATTTATAGAATAATTCAAATGAATTGTGATCAATATTTGACAGTTTATAAATATTTATAGAATAATTAGGCAATTAGGCTTGGAAACAAAAACAAACAAGCTGTTGTATATATTTTCTCACCAAGGCAGTGCAAGATTCACCACCGTCTCTTTCTGAGTACATAGATTTGGTTTAAGTCGTCTGATAGCAATTGCTTCAGCAAAGCGTAGCAAGTTAGGTTTCTTTTGCTTGTTGATTATTTTGAATGACTTCAAGTTGTCTACATTATGACCAGTGTCTAATAGATGACGCGTAATTGCACTGTTTAATACTTGTGGACCTTTCAGTCTCAGGTTCTTTGGTATGTGTTCAGAAATGCGGACAATAACACTTCTCTCTGTTCTTCCGATGTAGGTGCTTTGGCACGTACATGTAAATTGGTAAACACAGTTGGAGGTAACATGAGGTGGGTATTTGTCCACTTTTGATTGTCTCAAACAACTAGTTGTTTGATAAACACATACAAGCTTGGCGGCTGGATATGTTCTTTTCATAGCAGCGTTCAGTCTGCATCTTATTCTACTGGCAGTATCATCACCTTTGAATGCCAGCTGCAGAAAGATAGGCTTTTTCTCTACTGTGCTGATTTTCACTTTTTCAACATGACGTCTCCCATACTTATGAATTATTTAAATATTTAAAACCTTTTGTTGTTGCTTGCTTGTTTTAAATTCGTATCGGGGAAATAAGTGTTTCCCAGTGCTTTCCTTTTCTTTCCTACCTGTAGACAGACAAAGGAAGTGTCTTTGTTAGTTAATCAGCGAATCAGAATATGCCTTCTATTGATTATATTCCATAGATACGCATAAACATATACAATATTGAAGAATATTGACAATTAAACACAAACCTTATCAATTTCCCCTAACACCACGTGGTTAATCGTGTGATGTATGCAGTAAATGCTGAAGACGCTGAAGTGTCAACAATCAACAATCTTTATTGTAAGAACAACAAATTTCAGCGAAGAGTCCATATTCGACGGGGAATTCATTCACTCAGCTGTACAATCGCATTTGTATATATAATTATTTTCTGAGTGTGTGTGTGTATATATTAGGGTTGTCAAACAAAAATTACTTAGATATAAGAATATAATATATAAATTATATGCTGTATAATTCCATTATGGGTAAAATTTGTTTTGATAAAGTCTCACAGTGTTATACAGTAATGTTTACTGATGACGTTTCGAGCACAATTTATTGCCACTCATAATCATATCAAGGTAATCACACGATTTCCTAAATTCATTTATACAGTTCCATTGTTTTTCACTTGATTTTCACTTGATTTGATTGGTAGTATTATTTTCCATATTTCGGGTATTAGTGATGAATGATGCCTATTGCATGTGATGGGTGTAGACTCGATGAACCAGGCAGGATTCAGTAATCAATCTCTCTCTCTCCACCTACCTAGATTACTTTTTAGAATTTTAACCCTCTCTCGCTCACCCTATTGTGTGGTTGTGTTAATGCATGCAGTGCTATTCCTGCGGAGTTTTTTTCTAAATTACTTATCTTCTCGGGGTCAACCAATCTTACCTTAGCTAAATTCTTATGTTCTGACAATCTGACTACCCCTGACCTACTAGTCTGATCTATATAGTTGACCTCACAGTCATTGCAGGGTATTTTGTAAATTATATTATTTTGTTTAATTGGGTCAACCTGCAGGGTCTTTTAGCCTACAGAGCTTGTCCTACCTGAGTAAGTTTGTAGGTTTAAATGCCACCCTAATTCCTGCTTTATTGAGAATCCTACGTAGGGTCTCAGATGTCCCCTCTTTATATGGTATAACTGTGGAGAGAGAGGTTGATTACTGAATCCTTATTCATCGAGTCTACATCCAACACATGCAATAGGAATGATTCATTACTCATACCCGAAATATGGAAAATACTACTACCAATCAAATCAAGTGAAAAACAATGGAACTATATAAATGAATTTAGAAAGTCGTGTGATTACCTTGATATGATTATGAGCAATAAATTGTGCTCGAAACGTTGTCATCAGTAAACATTACTGTATAACACTGTGAGACTTTATCAAAACAAAATTTACCCATAATGGAATGGGTAAAATTTGTTTTGATATCATCTCACACAGTGTTGTACAGTAAGTAATGCTTACTGATGACCACGTTTCGAGCACCCGAATTTATTACTGCTCATAATCATATCAAGACACTACTCACACAACTTTCTAGCTTCGTTCATACATGTGAACTCACTAATGGAGGGCATAAAATTCGCATTTGAATCAGAAAATGAACAACGAGAGTTCGCTATGGAGTTAGAATGTAAAATAATACGAATAGAAGGAGGTAAACTGAACACTGGCGTTAATAAAAAGCCAACGCATTCTGCCAATAGATATTTAGACTTTAATTCATCACATCCGTTCGTTGTCTGTCTGTAAAGGCAGGCTTAGTTGAATGTCTAACAAACCGAGCAGTAAGTAGCACTAAGTAGTACAACAAAAAACCTAAATGATGAAATGGAACAGATAGAAGAAGAAGCGTTGGTGTTAAATAACTAACTATCCTATGAAATTCACTAGGAAGATCAGATCACGAAGGACAAGATCTGTAGGTTAAAGGCCCCTGAAGGTTGACCCAAATAGACAAAATAATATAATTTTTTATTGGAAACTGGTAACTAGTGTGACGTGTCCAGTCCTCCTGTATTTGGTGCAGACTGAATTCTATCAAAATAACAGTTAGTGTGGGTTGTTGATTATATCATCAAGATAATGAAGAAGTTAAAATGTGTGATTAATACTCAAGTTTGTAACTAAGTGGGGTGAAGATTGGTAAGATGTGAGTAGAGTTACATCATCAAAATAATGAAGAAGTTAAAATGTGTGATTAATACTCAAAGTATATTTCGCGAATTAAAAATAAGCAAGGACCCTCTGACAGTGAAGGAACTGAATGGGTTTCTGCGATATTCTGTCAAGCTTGCTGAAGTTAATGCGAAGATTAGTTTTCTCAGAGACTGTATGAATAATCATGAATATCCTAAGTGGTTTTGGAAAGCTCTACGTCGCAATCACATTTATCCGAACTCTAAATCCCTCAAGCGTCATACTCTGAACCATATCGATTCCATTATATCACGTGTGCCAGAACTCGAGAGGAACATAGCGAAACGATCCTCTGCGTTACACGAATTGTCTTGTGATGAACGACAAGCATTTACCGACTATGTCACTGTGGTTACGGAGAAGCGTACACAATCCATCCATTCTAACTTATTGAAAAGTCTCAAACCTGCAGAAACAAGACGCAAGTTTCCAGAAGATCCTACCAAATTTGTATTCAATTATTCGTCAGTAACGTTATCTCCCATACAATTGGAGGCCTTGTCTCTCGGGCCAAGATTCTGCGACATGAACTCCAACATAAGCAAGCTCAATACTTATGTCGAGTTTGAAAATTTGATCAATCAGACTACTGATCTTGTCCCAGCTTCCGAAGAAGAATTCAAACATTTCAAGTCCACTATTCTAGACTCTTGTCAACAGTATCTGAATACAAAGTCCAAGTTCAACAGCCTTTTGACCAAAGAACATAGAGAACAACTCAACCAACTAAGGCAGAACAAAGAATTGCTTATCACACGTCCTGACAAAGGTACAGGCATAGTCTTAATGGATAGAAAAGATTATATTAATAAAATGATGGCGATTCTCTCAGACAACCATAAGTTCTCAGTATTCGAAAAAGAGAAAGACAAAACCGAAGCGACGGAAAAACAACTAACTGAGATCTTGAGAAAGCTTAAGACTGATCAAGTTATCTCTGAAAATGTCTTCGAGAGCATTCGACCCACAGGTTCAATAATACCCCGACTATACGGATTGCCAAAAACTCATAAACAGGGTCTTCCGCTGCGCCCTATTTTGGACATGTCGGGATCTCCATATCATCCAATAGCGAAATGGCTAGCAGAACTCCTACAACCTGTCAGAGAACGAATTTCAAAACATTCCCTCCGGGATACCTTCGAATTCATCGATTGCATCAAAGATGTTAAAGTGGGAGACAAACATATGATTTCACTCGACGTCGAGTCTCTCTTTACAAACGTCCCTATCACTGAGACGATTTGTTTTCTATGCAAATACTTGGAAGAAAACAACCTGGATATTGGAATACCTACCACCAAGCTAAAAGAACTCCTACTCAGATGTACCCTAAATGTCCAGTTCACATTCAATGGGAACTTCTATAGACAAAAAGATGGCGTGGCGATGGGATCACCTTTGGGTCCGGTGCTGGCTGATATTTTCATGGCAAGTTTGGAAAACGGTCCGCTGAAAGCAACCATCGACAAATTCTTCTTATACAAAAGGTATGTCGATGATACTTTCGTCATCTGCGATCACAATTGTGATCAAAATATTGTTCTTCAAGTTTTCAATAGTTGCCACCCTGCCATCAAATTTACAATCGAAGAAGAAACCAATGAGACAATCTCCTTTCTGGACGTTCGTCTAAGTAAGAAGACCGATGGTACCTTGAACAGATCAGTACACAGAAAACCTACATGGAACGGTCAATTGACAAACTTCTACAGTTGGGTACCAATAAGTCGCAAGCGAAATTTGATAATATCTCTGGCGACTAGAATCCGAAAAATCTGTAGTCCAGAATCAATAGAGGAAGAGATCGCCCTCTTAAGGAAGACACTGCTCGAGAATGGCTACCCACCCCCTTTTATAGACAAGCACATTAAGCCTAAGACGTACAAAGAACAACCTATTACAGTGCAGAAGAAGATGGTCTACATGAATGTACCCTTCAAAGGTGACCTTCTGGCTGACACCTTGAAGAAGAGGATATCTACTGCTCTCAGAAGGACATTCTTCGCTGCCACACTACGACTGACATTTTCCTCCCGGCCATTGTTCTTCAACTACTCTAAAGATAAACTATCGCATTTGACCACTTCCATGTGTATCTACCAATTCACCTGCTCTTGTGGAGCGAGGTATATAGGTCGTTCGATGCGTGTTTTATCTAAAAGAGTTCAAGAACACTATCCCGCCTGGCTACGGAAAGGTAACAACGGAGCAATAAGGAGCGCCATTATTGAGCATATACTCAACACTGGTCATTCGATTTGCAAGGAGAAGTCGTTCAAAGTCATCTATAAAGTCAAAAGAAGCCTTCCAAAATCGACAAGCTTCCGTATACTTTGTATTGCTGAAGCCTTAGCGATTTGGATGGAAAAGCCTGAGTTATGCATACAGAAGAAACTTCTCCACCCCCTCCTACTACCGTGGGTTTAATTCCAAGTTTATTTGTCATCAACATTTTGTTATCAAATTTTTTTTGCAATTTTCGTATAACAATTTTTAGTAACTAACCCATTCAATCTTTTCACCTATTATCTAGTTTATCTTCATAATTGTCTCCAAACTCCTTCACTAGCATCTAATCTTTCTAAACATGTCCATATTACGTAACCCTACTCACATCTTACCAATCTTCACCCCACTTAGTTACAACTTTGAGTATTAATCACACATTTTAACTTCTTCATTATTTTGATGATGTAACTCTACTCACATCTTACCAATCTTCACCCCACTTAGTTACAAATTTGAGTATTAATCACACATTTTAACTTCTTCATTATCTTGATGAATTCTATCAGTCAAGTTTGTAATGTAGCCAC